TTTCAATGAATGTCACAAAAGTTTTACAACAAAATTAGAATTATTTCGACACAAAAGTTGTGTTCATTTGAATGAAAGGAAATTCAAATGTAGTGAAGAAAATTGTGGCAAAAGTTTTGGTCAGAAATCAAATCTAATTCGACACAAAAGCTTGCATTCAGGAGAAAAACCATTTGTTTGTCATTTCAATAATTGCAATAAACGTTTTTTTCAGAAATTTAATCTCAAAGTTCACATTAATACACATAACACAAAGCCATAAATGTATTCATAATAACTGTAATCAACGTTTTGTTACGAAATATGAATTAACAAAATATTGTAATCGCAAACATGTTTGAAAAATTATTACAACTACAATACAATTAATTGTTACCAATAAAATCCATAATTAATTCAACAAAACTTATTAAAACTATTTCATTGCAATTATCGGACCCAACACTAGTTTCGAAGTAGAGGTTTAGAGAGTGACCGATAGACAACACCAACGGCGCCGCAGACACCAAATGGTCACTCATTTGGCGCATCCGTGCTGTCAATGCGAGCCATCCTTTTATAGAGCTAACCAATGGACTCGGAATGGATATAACGGGTCAACTCATCTCTACTGACAACACGACCGCATTCTTCAAGTGCTGATCCATGAAAGACATGACCAGCAATGCCGTGGCTTTCAAAACCCACGGCGTGTCCACAACTGCCATATAATTGGGTCCCAACGGGTAGTCGTTGTGGACATGGGTCTGAAAGTTATATAAATAGGTGTCAAAACTGAACAGACCGGCGCTCGTTCGGTGCACTGCCAGAGCCCAGCCCTCCCTCTCTGACTCTCTGTCCACGCATTCAAACTGATAGATAGTCTCCGACCGACAAATGTAAGCGTCGGTCGCCGTACGGAATCTGTCGTCACATCCACTGTCCAGACATTGTGTGTGCTTTTGATTGATAAATAAATTGATTTTCATTTCAATAAAAGTTTAAAGTAATTGTAATTCATTTTATTTATTTGTTGTATTAATCATATAATTATGGTAAAATAAATATTCCGTAAAATTAAAATAATGTTCACAATTGTTATACAATATAAAACCACTGAATAAGTATATGATTAGACATTCATAAATCAATAATAATTACAGTGAGTTATTCACAACAATATTCATACGTTGGTAGAGATCTCTCAGATAAGAGTTAACCTTTTTTATCTCTTTTTGTGTGGACTCAACGCAGCCGTCAGTCTTGATAGACATCGGGAGGACGGAGTGGACTAACTCTCGATGACGGCCCACACCTTCAGCCGACTTAAATCTTTTACCACAATCTTTACACTCAAAGTCTGAACGCCGAGTCCGCTGTCCATTGGGCTCAACAAGAGTTGTAAGCGGCTTATGTTTTGTCCACTTGTGGGCACTCAAGTCAGTCTCAGTGGTGAAGCAATGCTGGCATCGGTCGCACGGAAACAGCCGATAATTACCGATTTGGTGGACAGCTGTCCGGTGGGCGTCGAGATCGCACTTCCATACGAAGGCTTTGCCGCAGACATCGCACGCGTGACACGAGTCCTCACGTATGCCATCGGCGGACACTCGTATTGGCCGACTGGCGGTCGACTGGTGTCCACTCTCTTCATAACTACTCGTATCGGAAATACTAATTGTAACAAAAAATTATATCATTATAAATGTGTCGTATATTAACTCATATAACACTTACTTATATTGCTTTCGCCCTGATTTGCGGCCATTGGTTAGCCATAACGGGTGATCACTTTGGTTCGGGTCCCTCCCCTCTCTATTGATCGCCTGAGTTGGCCGACTGTCAGACTCTTCGTGTCCATCGTTTTCATCATTACTCGTATCGGAGATACTATTTGTGGCCAAAAATATTATAACATAATTAAGTTGTTGTCTATTATCTGATATAATACTTACTTATATTGCGGTCGCTTTGATTTGTGGCCAATGGTTGGCCGTAACGGACGACCTCTTTTGGTTCGGACACTCGTCTCTCTGTTTGAAAGACAATAATAGTATTTTCAATCATTAAAAGTATTTAAATTAACCAAAAGTTCCAAAACTATACAATACTTGTGGGAAGTGGTCGGCAATGAGTGTTTAGTGAGTGTATCGACCAGTTGTCCGCTATTATCGGTCAACACATCATTCACTTCCAGATCAGAGTCAGAATCACTTGACATATAATACCTGTCCATCGGATCAGTGATTAAATTGTGTTAATTTTAATTTTGAATACAATTTTAAACAATATTTGTTTCAATCAAATAAAATGATGAAACTTTTAAACTATAACAATCACTGTTTTTGGTCTATAAACTAAATATTCAGTTTATTAACCCCGGTATGACATTACAGTATACACAATGTACTGTAGTCTCCCGTATAATACCAATCCATTCCCTTCTATACCCTGATTAATATCATTGCAATATAAATGGCAAACAATTAATCCCTTTATCTCTCAAACATAATCCCAAACTCTTTGGACAAACATTTTTATGAACCGTATTATTGGTCACAGAATTTTTCATAACTGGGTTTATCTATTTAAGCATTGTGATTGTGATTGGTCAGAATATACATTTATACAAATGTAAAATAAGTGTTTGTGTCTCCCAATGGTAAGAAATTATTAATTTCAAATTTAACATTTTGTACGAAACAAAGTGTCCACGTTTTATATATAATTTATTATATAATTTTACAATATAGCAGACATTGTTTAAAATGTGTTCAAAATTAATGAGTGTCGTTTGATGTGTTGATTAAGACAAGACTTATCAGAAAATGTTTTATTACAATCATTGAAATCACAAATAAATGGTTTTTCTCCCGAATGTATGCGTTTGTGTCGAATCAGATTTGATTTATGACCAAAACCTTTTCCACATTTCTCTTCATTACACTTGAATTTCTTTTCATTCANGTAAAATCAGTGATAAAATGCTAAACAATTGTCATATCATTACTAAATCTGATGATTATTTGCACTGTTTTTGGCCTAAATGTCAGTTCAAGACAATCATTATACAGCGTTTAACTAACCATCAATTAGTTCATTCTTCAATAAAACAATTTAAATGTAATTTTAATACTTGTAATAAAAGTTATAAACTAAAGGGACATTTGATTGTTCATAAAAAGAGAGATCATTTCAAAGTGAGATTTGTTTGTGATTTAAATGAATGCCACAAAAGTTTTACAACAAAAAACTTTTTATTTCAACACAAAAGTTGTGTTCATTTGAATGAAAAGAAATTCAAGTGTAATGAAGAGAAATGTGGAAAAGGTTTTGGTCATAAATCAAATCTGATTCGACACAAACGCATACATTCGGGAGAAAAACCATTTATTTGTGATTTCAATGATTGTAATAAAACATTTTCTGATAAGTCTTGTCTTAATCAACACATCAAACGACATACAAATAAAGAACTATAAATGTATTCATAACTCAATTAAAAAACATTTACATGAATATTATGTAATTAAAAGAACCACTTGTGCTAAATTAATACAAATCTGTGACAGTATTAACATTAATAAAATTTAAATCATTATTTCAGAATATCATACCAAACTCTCTCTCTCTCTCTCTCTCTCTCTCTCTCTCTCAAAATTTTTAAAATATTTATTGAAATATTTATTATAAATAAAAATAAAACATATTTCATTATAAATATTAGTACTATACACTTGTGTTTCACTGTATATAAACTTGTGTTTCATTTAAACGTTGAGTATATTTTGATGATCTGATCGGTGGTTAAGTGCGAGCACTGGGCCAGTGGTGGACACAACGGGCCAACCAATAACCACTGACTTACAAGCAAACCTGATTCCGAACTGACCATCAGTTAAGTTACTAAACCCACAATTCACTTATCAAAGAGAGGTATTAGGAAAGGGATATTCACAGTATAGATAGTGTAAAAGGAGTATCCTTTAGGGTAAAATATCACAAGTTTTAACATTTGTTTTGCACAAAATCACAAGACATCACTCATTGTATTTAATATTAGTGATTGTGAGATCAGATCGCATACACAGAGAGACGGTCAACCATACTGTATATCAGTTATTAAAAATAACATATTATTAATAAATATAATTATTTTAACCATAATTAAACGCTCACTAGTATATAATGATTGATTATTATATACGCTATAATGATGGCGATAATACTATTCGGGTCTCTATACCACATAGTGTTAAGACAATGAAAGATCTCAAGTGTTTTCTACAATCTAACTGTCTATACAATGAAAACAACCAAAATATTACTATTGCCACTACTGCCCGTTATAGTACCGGGTGGCATTATTATCAATTTTACTATGATGATCACAAATTGGAAAATAGTGAACGCTATATATTAATTCAAACAAAACCTAATCCCGCAATTCTGTCCGAACAATTAACCAGGTATGTTTTTCATATTATAATATTAACAGATCAAGGATTTGAGACAAAAATTTTGGTTTGATATAAATTACTTATAGTTTATAAACAAATGTTTGATTTTAGTTAAATATTTTTTTACATAAAACTAATATTTTTTACAGCAATTGGTGTAAAAGGATTACTACAGCGCTATTTATCATATGTTTAGTATCGGGTGTTTGTATTGTGTCCGCAAAAGTCAGTGCTTTGAGTGAAAAGTTGTCGACTTTAGATCAAAAAGTGTCTTTTAATATGAGGTTTGTTATAATTATTACTTAAAGTTATGTTTTATAATAAGTTTTAATTTTATTTTAAACGACAATTTATTTATTGTTTTAGTGATCCAGAAATGGTCGCACCGTTTAGTGAATTGTGGGCCGAAAAGAGTTGTTTAACTCAAGAGTTAAGAGCTCTGAACGCAAGCAATGGATACGAAGCGATGGCATTGAAAGCACAGCTCAAGTCAGCCATGGATTCAATGCAGACAATGACTGAAGAAATCAATGAATTGAGAGAAATGTTTTTGATCTTTGATAACAGGTTTAATATAAACACATAAAATAAACATTAGATTAAAGTTTTAATTATTATTTAAATAGATTTTATAAAATAAAATTAATTTTTTAATTTTCAGTTATCAAACAGTGGCCACAGATTTACGTATAATTACTATAAAGTTAATTATTATATGTTTGTTATTCGCTGTTTATATTTTGTGGCCAAAAATCAGTGGTTTGAGTGATTGGTTGTCAGTATTAAAGCCATCGAAACACACCATTAAATCCGATGTCAAACAATTGGCTCAACAAATAAATGCACAGAATATAAGGTTTTGTTAAATTGTAAACTTTCATTAAATATATCTAAATTTTACATTTAAATAGGGATTCAATGAGTGATTCGTCGTCCAGTTCTTCATCGATCGGATCCCACAATGAAATGACCACTAATTCACACAAAACCAGAGATGAGATCAATATTAGGGATATGTTTAAGAAAATTGAGAATCAAATCAAAACTCAATACCAAATGACATACACTTTATTGGAGGCTTTGGTTATAGAGAATGAGTTATCGTTGACAGCACTCCAAGACGTCAGACAATTGGCCGAAGACTCGGAAGACAGCGGATCCATAGTTTTTATTGGCTAACATCTCAAATAAGATATCAATTTAGACATTGATTTTTGTATTATCTTATAAATGGTCTAAATTGTCATTTTATTCATTATTTGTATTGTTATTTTTATAACATATTATAAGTTATGATTCATAACATAAGTAGAGTTTTAATTATTATTTTAATTATGAATACCATTATAATTGTCGCTCAAATAGTTATTCACTGACTTTTTAATACCATAATTAACAATATTTCTGATGACAGCGAATCCATGGCCAGTGTTGGCACACTTTGCAAATAAGACAACAATTTAGATATAGATTTTGTATTGTATTACTTAATGTCTTAAATCTATCATTTTATTCATTCTTTTATTTGATTTTCTTATAACATGTCTTAACATAAATAGAGATTTTAATTAATAATATTGTTTTAATTATAAATACTATTAGAATTTTGATATAGAGTTTGTATTGTATTACTTATTGTCTTAAATCGATCATTTTATTCACTATTTAATTGGCTTTTTATGACATAAGTTAAGAACTTACTTATTACTATATTATTATTATTATTATTAATTATAAATACCATAAGAATATTCACTAAATGAGACATTTACTGATTTTTAGACCAACTTTTTATTGGATTATTAGGATTTTTTAACGTAATTAATAATATTGTTGTTTCCCTTATAAAACATGTTTGTATTTTCAGTATAATTATTATTAGATTTGTTTTAAACATTTAATAAAAATACAATAAAATTAATAAGAATTATAGCATTAAACTAAAATAATTATAAAAATTAACAAAACTATACCATTATTTATAAATTCATTTCAAATAGAAAAATGTAAATTAATTAAACAGAGGCTAGAAATGCGGTACTGATTGTGTGATCACATCCCTGTCCGCAGACATTGTATTGGCTTTTGATTATGAAATAAACGGCGACCGAAGCCGAGGGCACGGGTGGTGTCGGAGCCGATGGCTATAGTGTTGAGCGGTTGTGTCAAACAGTTTAACACAGTTTTGGCACTCGTATTGTTGTAATGATGAGTTTTTGTCTCAATTTTATTATGGGTTTCTCTAATATGTTTATAATATAAATGTTGATTTAATTTAATGTTTTAGCAGTGATTTAACAAAATAACATTCAATACATAAAACTGTGTTTTTGAACTGAAAATATATTTTACATCACTTTTATAATCCTTATTCATTGCCTACAATTGGTTTACAATTTTGCTTCAATTTTTCTCCGATATGTTTGCGATTTAAATGTGCTATCAATTCATGTTTCGTAATAAAGCGTTGATTACAGTTATTATGAATACATTTATGGCTTTTTATATTCAGATGTCTTTTCATATGTCCTCTTAAATCAGATTTTTGGCGAAAACTTTTGTTACAATCATTGAAATTACAAACAAATGGTTTTTCACCAGAATGTATGAGTTTGTGTTGTATGAGTGAGAATTGTCTGCTAAATATTTTACCACAATTTTCTTCATTACATTTGAATTTCCTTTCATTCAAATGAACACAACTTTTGTGATGAAATAAATATTGTTTTGTAGAAAAAACTTTTTTACATTCATTGAAACCACAAATAAATTTCACATTTAAATGTACCATATTTTTGTGTTGAATTAATTTTGACTTTTGTACAAAAGTTGTATTACAATCATTGAAATCACACTTAAATGGTTTTATTTTTGTATGAGTTAAATGATGTCTATTTAAATCACCCCTTAATTTAGTTTTAAATTGACATTTAGGCCAAAAACACTGAATATATTTTCTACGATTATAATGAACACTATTTTTGTGTTCAATTAAATATTGTTTTAGTTTATAACTTTTATTACAATTATTAAAATCACATTTAAATTTTTGCACTTCTGAATGAGTTAATTCATGTCGATTTAAACAACTTTTATGGGTTGTATTAAACTGACATTTAGGCCAAAAACAATTAAAGTAAATTTGATTTTTGTCAACAGTTGAATGACACGAACTTTTGTGATAATATAAATACTGTTTTGTTTTAAAACTTTTGTGGCATTCATTGAAATCACAAATGAATCTCATATTTGAATGAATGCTATTTTTGTGATGAATTAAGCGATATTTTTGTTTATAACTTTTATTACAATTAGTGAAATCACATTTAAATGGTTTTACTGATGAATGAAATAATTCATGATAAGCTAAATGTTGTTTATATATTGTCTTGTATTGACATTTAGGCCAAAAACAGTGGAAATAATCATCAGATTTAGTAATGATATGACAATTGTTTA